CTTGGAGTACTGGTTTGCAGTCACTGACTTCCATTCTTCCTACCTGCCTCACAGAAAAAGAAGTGATTCTGAAAAGGAAAAAATGTAATACAGCATTCTATATCAAGTGATACTACTTATCTATGCTACATGTATGTATGTATATAAAAAAGCAAATGTCAACTCAAAGGGTACAGCCAGATGCCGATTCTGAGTATTCTCAGATGATGGTTAATTTTTGTCCTTCTGCTGCAAATTCAGTAGTCAAATAACACACACTCCTAAGAGTCCAATAGTTGGTAACAGACAGTTCTCACTTAAAAACCAACAAAGTTTTTTCCAGAGAGTCATCACTCTGTAGTGTTTAAAATACTGCATCGCCTTCATTGCCCTCACATTCTGCAGCATTGGGTTTGCTCCTGTCTCCTTCCATAAAGGGCAAAATGCACTTCACCTTCACAGAGGGAGAGGATACACAAAGCAAGATGAGCTGCAAAGCACTGCATGAGGCATAAACTCAGCTCTGTTGCTTTTGGAGTGGGCCTGCTTCTCTGTAAGACATCAATGCCAGTCTACTCCACAGAGAGTGTAGAAATACTTCTTACTTTATAATTTGTAAATGAAGCAAAAGACATTGCTCACACTCAGGCTGTGTTTCATTTAAGAAGCAGAAGAGCTGCTCATCCATCTGAACTGTGTTTTACTCTTTTGCATAAAATCCAAGGTCATGAATCTTGCTGTGAAGAAAGGTTCCACCATTTTCACCAATAGACTTGTTTTCTTTAAAAATCAATATAAGGAAATCCCTGAGAGCTTTGCACACAGATGCCTGCAGAAGGGTTATTGCTGCCAAGTTTTTCCAATGTGTCAAATAATCTTTGTATAGTTTATAAATGATAACAAAGCAGTCAGGCCACATTCATAAAAGCCCAGTGACACATAATTTAGTTGAATCTGAGGATTAGAATTAATTGTGTCTCTTTGTTCCAAGTTCTAAATCTTAGTAAATGATTCACTGCATGTCATTACAGCTTAATATTTGCATGAAATCACAGTTTAACTGGCATAATTTAACAGCAATTAAAAAGCTATTTAATCGTCATGCAAATTGGCATGAGGGGCCTTGAGTATGAAGTGTGTCTGAGGTTTTTTTCAGTATTTGCAGGCGGACAGTCATATACTTTCAGACACCTCTAACATAATTGATAATGTTCTCCCTATTCATTGAAATGTGAATGTACAATAATTCGTGTTTTCTCTTACAATTGAGGATTAAGTCCCAAATCATGAATATAACAACCTTCACTCTCTAGTACAAATAAAAATTAAATTTTTTTAAAAAGTCTATTTTATCTACTGTATTGGTTCTTCTACTGATGCCATCTACATATAGTATAACAAAAATTGGATAGAAAATTAAAATTGACAAAGCCAGACAAAACTTTCCTATTGCCTGAATTCACATTAATTCCTGTTTTGGCCTGCCAAAGTTGAAGTGACATAAAAAACCTGAGCTGTGATGACCCATTGTCATAGTATCTATAGTTTATGTAAGATTAAATTTAAGCCAGTTTTAAAATAATGGCTCCAATTCTTCGAGCAATTACACACTTGCTTAGTTTTAAGTGCATGAGTATTACCAATTATTTGAAGGGAATTACTGATCCGCTTAAACTTGTGCACATATGTAAGTGCGATTAAGGCTCATCCTCCATATTCCTAAAACTCCTCATTGGTTTTAACAGTGGGAATTTGTTAAGACCAGTCATTATTTAATTATCACAGCATGTTTTTAGAGGAAACATAATTATTCCTGTCTTCTGCACATACATAATAAGGGCTGAAGCTGAAGTGATCTGTGCTAGTTTTAGCTTATTCTGATCTCGGAACTATTCTCCAGAGTAGCTAGAACCATCAACCTCACAGTAATTTTATGGGAAGTTTAGAGATTTGTAAATCTGAGACACTCTAAGGTTGTAGGGGCTTTTGGACCACATCACCATCTTCAAGACCGTACCTCATCTCTGTTTTCCACACCGTTGGAAAATCATGTATCAATATAATTAGCCTTTGTTAACAAGTTCTATTTATAAATACTTATTACAGTATTTCAAATCCGTCAGTGTTAGACTTATCACAAAGTCACAGTCAAAGACCAGGAAGGAAATACTCAAAATATTCTCTGTGACCATAAAAATTGCAAATTACAAATATAATTTTCATCTGATGGGTTCCAGAAATATTGATCTTCAGTACAAATGAACCACATACCATTCAGCTAAATGATTTCTTGATATGCTGAAAAATATCTGGTCTTTACTGTCTGGGGCTTTTTGGCTGCTATGAACTCTTCACAGATAGATATATGAATAAATACTCACCCATTCAAAATATTTTAAACTTTCTTGTCCACTAGAAAAACGCAAAGCTATATAACACCTCCAAATATCAAGTGCTTGAAATCCAGCAGCTAACTCATCATTTACTTTAAGGCAAAAATCATTTTAATGAACACATAGTCTCAGTTATTTAAAGTTGCAAATAAATACCAGAAAGAAAAAAGCAACTCAAATGTTCAACTATAGTTCACAGAAAACCTTAACATTTATTAGTTCACATTATCCCTCCCACACCAAACTTTTTTCTCTTTACAAGCATTCCAGCTTTTATACCCACATTTATGCCACATAAGTAAACAAATAGCATCACTTAAAAATTACAAATGTTGGTGAATAGTGACTTTTTTCTCTGCAACTGTTATTGCCTCTTTCATTCATTAAAGTTAGTATTCATTCTTGGTCCTATGTATAGGTAAAACTGTATACATCTTTACTACTGTATAGCTTATTAGTAAAATGTAAGATATAGTAATGTTTTCTGTTAAAGTATAGTCCATTTTAGTATTCAGGGTAATATTCAAGAATTAAGAACTTGAATAAATGGATTTATTTCAGATGGAGGTGCATATTACAGAACCACTCATGGGCTTGATTTTCTAAATCACTACATTTTGTTTGGTCAAATAAATAGCTAAAAGTTTGAAAATTGAATCAGTGTATCAGTGCTGTAGTAATTGCAGATCTTAGGGAAAAAAAGAAATAATGGAATTGAATGATTAGAAAAAAGTATATTTTTAATTTTGGGGGGGATTGAGATTTGAGATACTGATTTATGTATGAAATGTTAGGAGGAGCTTTGATATTTTGTTTTCCTTCCTAATGCAAAGTTCTGGCCATTTATCTGACCATCCTTTGGGCACAAGGTCTTGTCCTCATGCTACAAGTTGTAGAACTGGAATTTACAAGAGTGTTGATCAATATTTTTGTTCATTTTTTTGTTTAGTTCTTCTCTCATTCTCTTCAAGTTTTTATAAAGGACATTATGAGATTTTAATTATCTGACTTTCTCAGATTTATGGTGCCACTCCATTTGTTGGGTGAAATATACTCTGTGTAAAAATTAGCTGATGTCATTTGCAAATGTTTCACACAGTCTTTCAGTCTGCTTAAGAGGCCCTGAAGTAATGAAAAGCTCACTTAAAGTTTGAACAGCATCTCAATCAAAACTGTGTACTTAAATCTTGCTGACAGGTTGTATAAATCATGAAAAGCTGCAACGCAAGCTGAAAGTTTTCAAAGTTCTGCTAACCATTGGCTAAGCAATCCATGTGCACTGTAATTTTACATTGAGAGCTGGTAATATAATGCTTATTCAACTCATTCAGCTCAAAAAAACCCAGAGATCACCAGCTGAGTTTACCACAATCATCCTACCTGTATCAAAACCTGGAGTATAAGGCCTTGCATTTTGCCAAATCTGTTTCTTACATAATTTTTATTAGCATATTTTGGGACTATATACAAATTGTTTTTGAAAGCCATGTGTCTGTAAGTGCTTGGTTGAAATATGTTAAGTGGAAGAATATAATAAGAAATGGAGATAAGATAATTCAGACTTCCTTTAACAATTTCTGCCTTTCCTTCACTCCTTCGTTAATTTCTATCTGAAAAATAACTAGGTGGTAAAGCTCTTCTATCAGACTGTGGAGCCAATATATAAAGCCTCAGATGATTTACATGTGATCCTACACAGTAAGTCAGCATAACAGCTTAAAACTTGTTGGACATACCTTGACTATTGTGGGATCCAGGGGAAATGGGTCGCTCATGGTTCATCTGACAGTACATGGAGAGCTTTACCACCTGCTGGCTAACTGAGAGCTTTCCTATACTCTGCCTGCTACTGTTGTCTTTACATCCCTCCTCACAGTCTTCAAGAATTACTTTTTCTCCCGCTTTGTGGCCATCCTTTTAGACCTTTAACTTGCAAGGTTGATGTCTTCACTGTTATACTGATGCTGATGAGGTGCCAGGTGGGAAAGAAAAACACTTGTAAACTGTCTCTTGTGCCTAATAGTCTTGGCCTGTTGCCACCTAAGTCTGTTAACGAACAGCAGCAAAGAAATCCCTGGGGATAAGCAGTGAAGGATAGAAGAAATATCTGGCACTAAAGAACTAATATAAACAATTTTAGCCCTTGTAGTTATTCTAAAGCTGGTATTTATTTATTTTTCAATTTGACTCTTAAAAAACATCAAAGATTATAACTATCAGAAAAGCCTACATTACTAAACATAAAAGAAGGAAATAAATTTTGTGGTTAAGGTCTACCTCAGTGTCCCACAAGATCAAGAGGTATTTAGTGCAAATTTGTGTTATCAAGTCTAGGCTTGACATTCCCAAGTAATTTTTATGTTGTCTTAAATTATTTCTGAATTAATTGTAATTTATTTAGATTATTCAACTTTTTATGATCTCACCCATTTATTATTCCTGCTTAATTTTTAAGGATAGTAAGTATTCAGATAATTTTTAATTTTTACATTGAATTTGTTAATGAAACATAACTCTTTTAGCTTCTATTTGCAAATAATTGCCTTAAGACTAATATGTTTTTTCATGTGTTTTTTTCTTCAAAATAGACAACTGTCACTTAACAGGCTTTCCCCTCCTTCTCTGCAGGGCCACCTTCTGCTCCGAGGAATGTGATTTTTAACATTAATGAAACAGCTCTCATGTTGGAATGGAGCCCCCCGAGTGATACTGGAGGAAGAAAAGATCTCACTTACAGTGTCATCTGTAAGAAATGCGGGTCAGATGCCAGCCAGTGTGAGATTTGTGGGGGAGGTATCCGTTTCATCCCCAGGCACACAGGTCTCATCAACTCCTCTGTGACAGTGCTTGACTTTGTGTCGCATGTGAACTACACCTTTGAAATAGAAGCCACAAATGGGGTCTCAGAGCTGAGTTTCTCTCCCAAGCAGTTCACAGCTATCACAGTTACCACAGACCAAGATGGTAAGTCCCAGCACTGCATGTCTCTTACTGTGCCCCTGTCATCTATGCACTTATTAGGGGGTTCATTTTGTTTCTTGGAAGTCTGGGTCAGCAAGCTGGGATGTTTTGCAGATTGTTAAATGTTTTTGACTGCTTTTGGTGAGGACTTCCAGCTTCTGCTGATGAGGGCATTAAATGCTTTTGGCAGTTGGCCCTTGACCCCATTACACAGGGCACAAAAACATACCTCCTGTTTAAAATTAAGTGGAGGCTTTAACTAGCTGAGACTAACTGTATCAGTGGTTCACTGGAACCTGAGTCTGCATCTGGTGCTTTTCCAAGTCTTTCCTATGATTTCAGTTTTGAAAGAGGAAACCACCACAGGTTATCCATTACAATTTCACAATTCAAAGGTGAAATGAAAGTGAACTTGCTTCCTTTAGTATCCATGTTTCACAGTACTAATACAGCATGCTTCACTGTAAGATATTTCAACATCTGTATGAGCCATTTCTTTAGGTGAGGTATCCTAACAGACTTTTTCCTTTAATTGCCCACTTTGCATTATTGTTTTTGAGCTTTTTCTTCCCCCCATTTCAGTTCAGATTCATGTTCAAGGTCAACCTTTATGAGAAACATGGAAACTAAAACAGCCCTATATTTTTGTTTACTTCTGCAACTTTTTCCTCTTCCATCTTTAGAAATACTTACTATGCCAGGAAACAGCATCATGGGTTACCAACAAAGTAATCTATATAGCAGTGTTATCTTCTGGCTTGTGTTACTGTAGATGAGAAGGTTATTTCAAAATAATCCCTTGCTGACATTTGTTCCAGAAATGTTTTTCACCTACTGTGCAGTGACATTGCAACTGTAGCTGAAGCGTTTAATGTAGAACATGACCTGAACTGGCAACACTACTGTTTTGAGTAGAAGGCCTTTGATAATATGAAAGTATTTAGTAAAAGTGCTAATGTTCAGGAGGACCCTGTTACGTTCCACTTGTAGGAAGGCCCTGGGTTCTTTCACTGATCAGCCTAGCAAAATTCTTCTTACCTGCGTATGTGGGACAAGTAGTTTTGTTGATGAGTAAGTAATGGCTTGTTTGCCTTTGGGCATACAAAAATTAACAGCTTGCTGTGATGATGATGGTGATGATAATGACAATGATGGTAATACTAATAATATTCATGAAAATGGATTAGAAAAAGCACGAAAACTACTCACTCACCGTTCATGTGATGATGGTAACAAAAAGGCTAATTACATAAGATGCCTAATGATACATGCCTTGCACTGAGAATTGCCTTAAGCTCTTAGGCTACCTATCATGTTGCAAACCTGTATCTCTTTTCCTTTCTCATTAAAGGCAAAAAACATGGTCCCAGAAACTACCCCTATGTCTGCTTATTTTTAGATGTTTTGTTACATGGTACTAAATGCAAGGCACCAAGCATGCACAAGTGGAGGTCACCAGAGATACAGTTTGTTTTTAAACTGGCTAACAGCTCTGTGAACATAGGTTGTGATGTGTATTTAAGTGGTGGGCTTGTAAAAAATATGTATTTTGCTGTTGTCTGTTCCTGGTTTAAGGATATAGATTTTCACTGCAGTTTACTCAAAGCAGGGAAAAGACCAATGTTTTGATAATTTGTGACACACTGACAGTAAACTCTAGAGTGTAGAGTGCTTGCATTCCCTGTAATAATTCTTACATTACTAAAAATGCTGTTGGAAGGGCTTCAGAGAATTTAAGACCAGATTTCCAGAATATCTGTCAATTTATTTGGATATAAAAAGACACCTTTGCAGGAGAAAGCATTGTAATAAATGACATGGAGGCATCTATAAAACATAGTTATAAAGATAAAACTATTTTTGTAGGCTTACAAACTGTGTAGTTGTTTAAAATCATAAGCACGGTAACTGTATATTTAGAGAGAAAGATAGTGTCATATGAAATATTGAAGAAAATTAATGGCATTTTCATTGATGGAAATTATTGAGAGGACAATAAACATTTTTGTGAGTTACTTTTAGTCATAAATAAGAAGTGATACAGAGAAAGCTAGGTTATCTAACCTCAGAAAAGGAAGCTGTAGAACTAAAGCTTCAGAACATTACAGGGATTTTATTAATGTTTATAAATTACATGGAAGTTCTCAGATAAAAGGATTAGTGACCTTTTCTATTTTTATTGTTAGCCAGCTATTAGTAAACAATTTATAGTTTTGCTTTTGCCATACGTACCAAAAATACTAAATAATCACCTTTATATTGCATTCCTTTTTCTAGCTACACAACCAAACAGTAAATTCACTGTTACAGTCTTTCCTTACAATCTTAATTATACTGAAAAGGCCAGAACTTATTGCATGGTGTTGCAGGTTTGTGCACATGTTCATATAAAACAAAGATCCAAGATTATACGCATGATGTGACAACAAACCAAAAATATCTTAATGTGTACAAGGGCTGCGTTACCAGAAGTCCAAACGTATTGGTTTAAAACAATTTTTCTCCTTTGACCTACACAATATATTTATTCCATGTTCATACTACCTTTTTATGCATAATCTTTCCATACATACTGTTTTAATGTTTTTGGTATACACATTTTATGAAGTACTAGACCTCTTTATAAATATATAAATTGTTTTATTCAATTGTCATATCTTTGTAAAGAATATAGAACAATATCTTCAGCTATTGTAAACCTAGACCCTTCTGTTAGCTACAATACTTTACAATAGCTAAGGAGCTAGCATTTTATTTTCTTTGAGCATATTGGATGTACTTCCCTCTAGTGGCCCCTTCTTTTTGATGGTTTATGTGAAATTAACAGATTCTTCTTTAAACATGCAAAATTATTTGTTTGTTCTTCAGGGCTTTTTCTCTCTTTTTGGAGAAGATACTACTGTTGACATTTTCCTCAATAAAGTAGTACAATGAAGAGTACCTTGAGCATGCATAGAAACTGAAGAATTGTATTCTACCACAGTTAGTGAGTAAAGTAGTCTGAGAGCATCAAAGAGGGAGAATATTTGCTGACAGAAGTGAACTAATTCAAAAGTGATTAAGGCTCATCTTTATGCACAGAGCTCTACTACAACTAATATTAAAATCTTAACTGCCTCCTGATGCAATCACCAGCATCAACGAGATTAAGTACACTGCTCAACTCTAACAATGACAAGAAGCAGACTAAAGGAAAGTAACACTTTGAAAAGGCTTTCCAAACTGCATCCTGCAAACCTCCCTGCGATTTGATGACTAAAGCATTACCAGACCTGATCAAATACTGAAAAAAAAGTACTAACATTAGTGTAAGTCATATAAAATGAACTTGGTAGCATCCATGACTTTTTTAGTTATTAATTTTGTACAAGTATTCATAAATTCAATATCCTTTTTTGGGGGTTTTTTCCCCCGGGCTTCATAAGGAAACAGTTTCTGTGGTCACATCAGCTGTCAAGCACCGTAAAGAACTGTGAACCCATTAGCCAACTCAAATTCAATAACAGAGAAAAAGATTTCACAGGTATTATGTTCTCTCAACAGAAGTGTGAAAAATGACCACTTAGAGTCACCAAGCTGTTAGTTGGGTCTGCAAGTTGAAAAGAAAGGTTCAACTATGTAAGGCTAGCTTACTGGACGAGAGACGCCATCTGACCAACCACTTAACATGTCTGTTGGCTAGTCAGTAAAGAAAGAATATGTGTAGTTCCTGCATGATCACAGCATGTGCTGTGTCTTGTCCAACAAGTGTGGCAAACAAGGATGGGGTAGGGTTGTGTTAGGAACCGTAGATATTGTAGATGGAGAGATGAGGGAAGTGAGCTATATGCTACTCTTGTGTAGCTTTGTTTCAGAATGTTTTGAGATATCAAAATAATCCCTACTTTAAATTCAGATAAATGGAAATTCTGCTCAGAAAAGCACTTAAGCCAAGTCCCTGTTCAAGGAAGAACATTAGCACATATTAAGTGCTTTCCCAAATCACTGCTAAAGTAATTTGTAAACAACTGAAAGGTAAAACATGCTTTCAAAAAAAGCCTCATCAAGAAATGTTTAACAATACTGTTGTTCAGAGAAGTGCCTGGATGCCTTTTCTTTATGGGAGCGAGAAAGTTTTATACAGCCATAAATATGCTGAGTATGAAGTAATTGTACTCAATCGACTTTAAATCATTGTGTGAAGAAGCAGAGAATTATATGCTGACTTGTAATTTATGTTTCTCTTATGACTAATGGAAGGAAGAGACACCTCACTATATAACTTCCTTAGCATGCCTTAGAGTCTGCATCGCCTAAAGAAAATTCAGAAGTACTTGAGGCTTTTCATGCATAATTAAAGTAATAAATAATGAATAATTAAGCAAAACAGAAGTTAAAATAATAGTTCCTATATCCAAATAATAATGTCCACGTACACATTCACTCAGTGGGCATTCATATGTTCTATTCCTTGAGAACAGAGGGGTTTTTAACATTGCACTATGGAGAGTGGGAGTAGAGTCATGAGACATATCCTGAGTACACAATTATACAGGCGGGTAGTGGCCTACTCCATTTCAGTCCACCATTTCACTGCATCACTGAGGAGTGGCACTCTGTAGCTATAGTGTTTCTCTGACAGTGTAGTTTCTTCATTGTCTGGTCTGCATCTTCACTGCATCATATCCCTCCTGTGGGACTCCATGCTGGCAGCCCCCAGCTCACCTTTTGCCAGCAAGTCCCACAGCAGTTAGCTCTCCTAAAATCATAGTTCAGCCGTGGGACGCTTCGCAGGCATCGTTCCCTTCATGGGCTCCTTCCACATGTCTTTCCTGCCTTGATGGAAAGTTTACACTAGAGAAATAGTCCTTGTGCCATTGCATCCCAGAAATCTTATTTTCTCCCTCCTCAGTTCTGCAGTTTGTGAGTGACTCCGGTCTCCATGACATCAAAGACTTGCTACCAGTGGACAAAGTTTGAGTCATGAGAGACTTCACTCTGTCTGGGCACACACCCTGTCACTA